TTCAGATGTATTTCCAAGAAAAAAATATCGTCTTATATTCGGGACAATACGGTATTTACTGCATTTGGTGTTTGAAAAAAAAAAACATGAATTACCATTCTGAAACATCCTGTTGTAAGCGTGTTTGAGGAGGTGGTTGGTTGTCTCCTGTCGCCGCCGATTCGGGGTCTGAGTTCGGCTCATGTAAGGCCGGACATTTCCCTCAGCAGTGACCATCATTACTGGTGTTTCTATTGACCTTACTTGTGAGTATCACCAATCCACAGCAGGCTACAGCATACATGAATCTAGTTACCTGTGGTTGGCCTGTTTGTGCGTCACTCAAAAAACAACAGGCCAATCAGAAGAGAGGCTCATGAATATTAATTAGACAGGCCAAAATCGACCTGTTCTTTGCAGAGCTCCTGAGATAGGAGCTGTAAAAATATATTGAGATTGTTTTTGGTACTTATACTGCAAATATATATTCTTAAGGACATCAAGAATTAAACTAAAACTCCAGAAAGGTATAAAATATATGACCTTTAAAATAGATCAGAATTAATTTTAAATTGTACTAACATTTAAAAGAGAGACAACCCTTTTTTTTTTTTTAATAGAAGCAATATTTTTGATTTGTCGAACAATCATGTGTCAGCATTTCCTTTTAAACTGATTTTAATGTAATACTCTGCAAACTTAAAAAAACAAAAACTAAAACTAAAGCTTCTGTTAAACTATAGTTAAACAATAATTATAGTGTTCAAAGCATGCTACCATACCTAGTGCAATATGGCACTTTTAAGAATTTACTTATAACTTTGACTATAAAAGTTTTTAAATACGTTTGAATTATTGATATGAAATGGTATAGGTTTCACAGAATGAATGTGCTCCTGGTACTTTTGGGGACATGGTATGGGACTGTCATGCAGAATAAAAGCCTCTCAAAGACCAAAGAGCACTCACCCAGCACAGAGGGACAACTTCTCAGACATGATTAAAGATTGTGAAACAGCCGGCATATGAAATCTATAGCAACATCAGTTCAGCAAACTCTAAATAGAGGGACTACAGCGATCATATGTTATATAGTGATGATGTACAGTATATCACAGGTATATTAATTTTAGAAAAGAAAAAAAAAAGCTTTTAGAGAACAAACTGTTTAATAAACATTGAGGAATTGTCAGGTCCTCGATTCCCGGACTAAGGCTAACTATCCTGGTGTGCAGGACAAAAGAAAAAAAAAAGCCAGATAATTTATTTTATACTTTATTACATAGTTTTTTATTAAATGTAAAACATTTGGTACATTGAGACTTCCACTTATTAAAGGGTTAGTTCACCCAAAAATGAAAATTAGCCCATGAATTGCTCACCCTCAAGGCATCCTAGGTGTATATGACTTTCTTCTTTCAGACGAATCCAGTCGGAGTTATATTAAAAATTGTCTTTGATCTTCCAAGCTGTTTAATAGCAGTCAGCGGGTGTTGCAGTGCATCGGTCCAAAAGAAGTTAAAACAAGTGCATCCATCCATAATAAAAAGTGCTTCACAAGGCTCCGGGGGGTGAGGTGAACAAAGTCCTCCTGTAGCGAATCCATGCGTTTTTGTAAGAAAAATAACCATATTTAAAACGTAATAATCGGTTTAATCTAGCTTGCGGCAGCTAGCAGCTCCGGGCGGATGACGTATGAGGTCAGCTTTGCGCATGCGCCGCTCAAAAGTGATGAACATGGAAGCGCAGGGGAGAGATCAAAACAAAACAACAGTCATGAATTAGTTTTTTTTAACTTTCATTTTTTGAAATAGTTTTTTGAAAACTATTTTTTTCTGGACTCCAGGTCCCACCCACCCTGTTAAGAAAAATAGGATGGATAATTAAATCTGCTTCTGTAGGGACTGTCAAAGACCCTGGCTTATGAGTGAAACTTTGTTATATCGTTCCCTTTTCTGAAAATTGGAGCTTGATGAAAGCGGTGGAGAACGTGCTATTAATTTGAAGGGTATGCAGAGACCCTCTACTGGGAAATAGAAATTAATCTTCTAGAAGCAGTTCAGGAGAGTCTTTTCAAACACAAGGGTTGTATATGGATTAGCATGAGGCTGTTCATAATACACTAGCTTCCTTCATCCTTGCAATCAATTAACAACAAATGCTTGACTCTGAAATGGAGACGTTTTGTGAGCTAAAGTCCTCTTCCAAAAGCTCTAACAGTCTGTGAAGAGAAGGCAGTAATCACAGTGTCTTATGCGAGGAGATCGTGTGCATATTAATGGCTGATACGTGTATAGAGGGAGATTCCTAGGTTCACTTTGGATTTTATTGTTATTTTCAGGGCCATTAAAATGCTCCGCTTCAATGATATACTGTAATTAGTCTCTTTCATGTGTTTTTTCTGTAAGGGATTTTGTCTGAACATCATGTGGTATAGTTTGACATTAGGAACCATTTAGAAACCATCAAATAAAATCAAAATTCTAAATTAAAATTGTGATAAATATACAGTTATGGTCTTTTTTTTTTTTAAATGTCTCACCCATGCTGCATTTTTTATTTATCAAAAAATACAGTAAATTCAGTAATACTGTGAAATATTATTGCAATTTAAAATAACAGTTCTTAATGTTAATACATAAAATTTTCAGCATCATTACTCCAGTCTTCAGTGTCACATGATCCTTCAGAAATCATTCTA